TCTACGATTTTGTTGAGCGATTATAATCATCAGTATACAATATACAGAATCCTGTTACTGCATGGGTCGACTCCCATCCCTCATATACTTCCTCCCCCCTTTCTCTTTTTTCCTCCATCTCCTTCTCTTTTATCCCCCTTCCTTCAAAAAATTTTGCCCTCTCCTCCTCCCACACCGTTTTCTTCTTTCCTTCCTTTACCCTCTCCTTCATCTCCTCATAGCATTTCCTCGCTAAACTTCCTCCCATTCCTTCCTCTAATTTTTTCTCATACCCTATCGCTCTTCTTCCTGCTCTTATCCTGAATTTATCCTTTCCTATCTCTTCTCTTACCATATACCCCGGCGTACACCAATCTACTCCTAGCGTCCACCTAATCCATCTTTCGTGCATTGCCTCTACTTCTCTCCTCTCCTTCCACCCCCATATTTCCGCCCCATACTCCATCACCGTTCCCACCAACCTTTCCATTAACCATACTCTTTTTATCCAGTCTCCTGCAAATCTTCTCTTTCCCATACCCCATACTTGTCTCATCACCGCTCCTGCTTTCCTCACTCTGTCCCTCACCTGCGCCTCCTGTCCTCCATTCCTTTGTAACTTATATCCTAGATACTTGAACTCTTTCACTTCCTCTAATTTTTTCCCTTTCCATCTCCACTCCATTTTCTTCATTCTTCCTCCCCCCTTTCTAAACCTCATTATTTTTGTCTTGTCCACATTTACCTCTAGCTTTTTTTTATCCATGTAATTTTCCATTTTCCCCAACATATGTATCATCCCCTCCTCCTCCTCCGCCAACAACACCATGTCATCAGCATATGCCAAGCAGTGCACTTTTTCCCCTCCCAACTTTACTCCTCCCCAGCCTCCTTTTTTCAGCACTTCCTCTATATCCGCTATCAACAAATTGAACAAGTGTGGGCTCATTGGACAACCTTGCCTCACACAACTACGCGTGTGAGGGAGGGGAGGAGGAGGATACATAATCATGATGATGCGAGATGTCTGATGTTAGTGAAGTAATACCTCTCGACTGACTCACATCGAAGAAATCATGTCCGCACCAACGTTTGTCGACCTGCAAGGATTTATCCTAAACAAGCGATTTATCGTGAAGGAAGCGGCAATCCTGAGAAGAGGATATATCCTGTCGCACTATTTCTTCGCATGCCCTGTGCCGTGGAGCGTGCTTATAAAGTCGGAAAGGCGCCAGGTCTCGTGGCTAACTCAGCATCATCACAGCTTGCAATGGGAGGAAATGTTCCATACTGCATGGCTCAGCGCTTGATCACGGCAGCTATCAATGGCATAAATGAACAAGACGAGGAGGAAGAGTCCTCTCTCGTGTATGTAAAAGGACTCGAAAAGCGAGAGTGGCTTGCCGAAATAGTGGACGATGCGTGCAGCGGTTTCATGATTGAGACCTTGGATGCCATATATGAAGATGTGCCTGCATTAAATAAATTAGATCCCACATATACTCTACGATGTAATAAACATGTAAAAAATTGCGCGTTACAAAATGTATTTAAATTATTCAATTGGTGGTCGGCTAATCGCGACGATCATCCGTTTTTTGAATAAACATATTATTTACATACTATTCTCTTTGTTATTTTTCCTAACCAGATATTTCTAAGAATTCCTTTTACCCCCACTACTTTTAAAAATTTCTCACGCAATCGTATTTCTAAGAATTTCTTTTACCCCCACTACTTTTAATAATTTGTCTTTTTCTCCAGATATATTTCTAAGAATCCCCTTCTCCTAATATTTTAAAAATGATCGTTACTCGATTATTAGTACTTTTTATACAATCAGTCTTTCGTCGACCGTTCTAACTGACGGTTCACTTTTTAATACCCTCGGTTCAAAGAAGCAACAGCAGCATGAATTACTACATGCCGAGACGTGATGAAACGTGCGAGAAGAAATGCGACGAGTAAGTATAACTTTTTCTATTTTATATATTTTATATTTTTTCTATTTTTTATTTTCTATTTTTATATTTTTTACGAGTTATAATTTTTATCTAATTTTTACAGCGTTTCGCTGGAGTCTCGTGCGGTTCGTATACTTGGAAGACGATACGCATTGACGGCCACGAAATTCAAATTCCTCGACATCGGCATCAGAGTGGATCCGCCGAGTTACGTGGAGATCGCCATAGGAGATCATCGGGGAAAACAGCTATTACTATCTCTCGAAACGTGGAAAGGACTCTACGAGCAACGCCACGCTATTTACAATTACCTGAACAATGACTCCTCCTCCAACAACGATGTGTATAATTGCATAAGTGTCGGGCCGCTAACAGTGCGATTTCACAAGATAAACGGCACCAAGCTCATAAGTCTCGAATCAGCGGACGTGCGCATGATGATGGTCGAATCGACGTTACATCGTATGTTCGAGCTCGATTCATGTATCGAAATAATGTTCGATCGTTTGACGAGGCTCGTCGCAACGGTTGATATCAAATATACTCAATTCTCCAATATTGCATCCACTGTAACGAATGCGAGAGAATTGTCGAATGCGATACGCGCTAGCAATGTCTTCAACATGCACCAACTTGTCGATTGCGAGCTGATGGCTTTAGTTTTTAATATGTAATAAAACTTTATATATAATTATGTATTAAATATAAGACGAATAAATACTTATATGTATATATCATGGTGTATTTTATTTGCGCGCCACCCGTTACATACTTTGCGAGAGATAATTATCGTGTCAAGGACATTGTTATATCCAAGCCTCAGCGAGAGAAAATCGATAATTTTATCTTAGGCGCACGCGACATTAAGAGACAGAGAGAAAGAAAACGCACGCATTCGAGAGAGATGCGGCGGCGAGAGAGATTCGGCGGCTCGGGCGGCGAGAGAGTAGGCGGCTCGGGCGGCGAGAGATGCGGCGGCGAGAGAGTCGGCGGCTCGGGCGGTGAGAGATGCGGCGGCGAGAGAGTCCGCGGCTCGGGCCTGCGGCGAGAGAGTCGGCGGCTCGGGATCCAAGCCTGGATTTTGCGGGAGAGGGATGCTGTGGCGAGAGGAGGAAAAACATTTTTTTATTTTAATAAAATGTATATTTTATTCAATATTTTTTTTCTTTGTACATTATTATTTTTTTTCTTTGTACATTATTTTTTTCTTTGTACATTATTATTTTTTCTTTGTACATTATTATTTTTTCTTTGTACATTTTTTTCTTTTTTTCTAGATCATTATATATATATACATATTTTTTTATTTTTTGTACATTTATTTTAATTTTTTTGTACATTATTTTTTATACATATTTTTTTATTTTTTGTACATTATTATATAAGGATATCGAGGGAGGGAAACAGTTTTAAATTAATAAACATTTTGGTATATTATTAAAATATATATTTTTATTCTTAATTATTACATTACCGCCGGCATTAGCATTACCCGAGGTGTACCGCGTGGAAATTGCCGGTTGGATTTACACCTCATATGTCAGTGTATGTGCATGTGTGTATGCGTGTGTGTACTTGTACATGTGTTTCAGTAGAGATAAGGACCCCACGGTTCGTCACTTTCGCGGTATTTAACGACTCCAAACCCTCTCTACTGTGTGTGTAAATAAAAAATAAAAATAATATATGTAAAATAAAAAAATATAAAATATAAAAATATAAAAATATAAAATATAAAATATAAAAAATATAAAAATATAAAAATATAAAAATATAAAAAATATAAAAAATATAAAATAATTCTTCTGTACGGTGACAGCGAGAGTGAGCAGAGAGAGCCGACGAGAGAGAGCCGACGAGAGAGAGAGAGCGGAACCGCGCGCGATGTGGCGGCTCGAGGTAGTGGCATCTACACATAGAAATATAATAATAATTTAATATTTCATAGATTTTTTTTTTTTTTGGTATTTTAATATACTTACAGCTCTGACGGGACAGCGAGAGAAGGGGTCGCATCAACCGTCGCTGTCATCGGACTCGGCATCTGCACATAGAAATATAATAATTTAATATTTTATATATATTTTTTGACATATTATATATATATATATATATATACTCACGTCCTTGACAGGTGGGACAAGCGTTGGCCAGGTAGAACACGTATAGTCTTTCCTGGCAATCATCGCAACGCAGTTCGGGTACATCTGTGTACCGCGATGTAGTGTGTCCCTCGATGGTTGTGATGCTCAGGAATCTGCCCCTGTTTCTCACGAAACAGCGAAAGCAGATCCTGACCGACCCCCATGGTGCGGCAAATGCCATGACATACGACGCCACAGTGCATACCCTCGCTGTCTCGTCGAGGGATGCAGTGGCGCGTATGCCATACATGCGGGAGCTGCACGACTCCCGAACAGCGTTGTCACTATCGTACCCATCGTCATCTTCATCTTCATCTTCATCTTCATCATTATTGTCATCGTCATCGTCATCGCCGTCTTCATCAATGGGTACGATATCGACCTCCATCTCCTCAATGTCATCCAGGACGTTGTTCGCCTCCCTGTCGTACACAGGGTCGTACATCGCACCATCACTGTCGCTCTCGCTGTCGTCGTCTGAGATGGTTATGACCTCCATCTCGTCATCCGGGACGACGACCACCTCCATCTCATCGTCGCTCTTACGCGCTGCGTTCTCCATTTTTTATCACAAAAACAATTTATTCTCGAGTCACTACTATGCTCGCAACTGTCACCGTACTATGACCCGGCAGTGGCATCGGTCCTCATTATATATCCCCGATCATCCCTTTGTTCTTCAACGTATGATGCAATTATCTCCGAAAGATTTGCTATTATCTCCGAAAGATTTGCTATTATCTCCGAAAGATGATCTTCGCCGAAACAAAAATAGCGGCTGTTGTCTATCGACATGTTTACACCTTCCGCGAAATCATACATATCTACTCTCAGAAACGTTGACATACTCTTCACATATGTTGTACACCTATTTAATCAGACAAATAAATAGGCTGCAACAAGTAATCTGACGATGATGATGATGACGACAATGGTGATGGTCTCGGTTCTCTCCTATCTGACTCCTCTATTTCTTGGTCCGAATCATAATCAGATGATTGTGTTTTGCATGATACCGATGGTGAAGGCATATCCATGTCGGCAAAATAAAGGTTGTTCACAGTGAAATATTCTGCACAATTTTTGTAGCGACGCTGATAACATGCGACTCGCTTGTGTCGTTTAGACGATTTGGTGCATTTGGATAACCCACCAGTCACTCTTAAAATGTCTTCGTGCGTTTCCAGGAAATAGGCAACATCTCTTGTATGCGGTTTGTGCACACCAAGTTCGCGATTTCTTACGAATTGCACAACCGAAGTCACCGCTTCACGTTTAAAATGAAACGGGTCATCTTTTTTTCATCATAATAGCATTCATCGAGATGTCTATACCATCTCTCAACATTCTCAAAACACCTCGAATGATCTTTTACCGCGTTCTCCATTTTTTTGATGTCTATCATTTTTCACACGTGTTACACTTGTAACTTCAGCCTATTTTCGCTGACATTCGCTGCAATCCCTGATCATCGGTGCTGGACCGTCAATATGCGTTCGCATCCACGGCCGATTGTAGTGTTCGAGGCAGCGACGATATGTCTGAACCTCCGGATCCGTCTTAATTTGCTCCGGCAGTTTTTCCCACAAATGCTCTACGAAATATCCGCACTTTTGCAGTAAAACAATCTTCGGAATATATTGTAACTGTTCGGCACTTAAACTGAGAATGTCGGAAGCACTTGATAGTATTACAAACATTCTGCACCCCGAATGAAGAAAGCGTGCGCTCGCCAGTGGTACTATGGCCCGGCAGCTGCATCGGTCCTCATTATATATCCCGATCATCCCTTTGTTCGTGGGATGATGATGCAATTGTTAATTTGCGAGAAATATTTGTGCAATATCTTATCTTGGATTTTCAGAGAAAATTTAGATATCGCTAATAATTCTTAGAAATACATAGATAAGGCCGCCCGTTACCTTTCATTTCACCCCGTCGGATTGACACGTCGGATCCAAGCCTGGATTGACATGTCGCAACCTGTATGGATCATGTATCAACCCGCTTGATTGTCGGCAAACCTTTTGTTCTTAATAATTCGCAGAATTATTTTATCTTATCTTGGATTTTCGGAGAAAATTTAGATATTGCTGTAATAGATATCGCTGTAATAGATATCGCTGTAATAGATATCTTATCTTGGATTTTCAGAGAAAACTTAGATATCCAATTGTCGGCGCTTGATCCACGCTTGGATTAAGAAACGGCGGCAGCCATTTGTAGAATTTTTATCTTATCTTATCTTGTTTATGAAAACTTAGATATCGCTCAAGCTTATCTTATCTTGTAATAGATACCGCTCAAAGACGCCGCTTATCTTATCTTATCTTGTTTATAAACATATCAGGTAACATGATCCCCTTATCTTATCTTGTTTATAAACATATCAGGTAACATGATCTCCTTATCAGGTAATATGATCCCCTTATCAGGTAATCTGATATGTTTATAAACAAAAGATAAGCTTATCTACTGATAAGACCCCCTTCCCCGCGTGACGTCACCCTCCTCGCCCCCGATTCCCCCGCCCCGCACCCCCCCCCTCATTGCCCCTGGGTTAGAACCCCCATAGTATATCTACTGCCGTCTATGTCCGGGTCACCAAGCGAGATGGCCGGGTGGAGGTGACATTGCTGACCGCCAGAGCCAAGGTGGCTTCGGTCAAGAAGCAAAGTGTGCCTTGCTTGGAACTATGCGGAGCTGTTCTAGTGGCTCGCTTGCTGCACCGGGTGGCTCATGACCTGGATTTGGAGGACGTGCCTGTCGTTGCCTGGACAGATGCTAGGGTCGTCCTTTGTTGGCTGCGTTTCCATGCGTCGCGCTGGCGACCGTTTGTGGCGCATCGAGTGGCAGAGGTACAGAGTCTGGTACCGGGCGAACGGTGGAGACATGTTCCGACTGCATCAAACCCGGCTGACGTGGCAACCAGGGGGATTCCGGTCTCGGAGCTTCTTGGTTTAGACTTGTGGTGGAGAGGCCCCGTCTGGCTTCGGGGACCAACCACCGCGTGGCCTGTGGTGGGTGATCTCGGTGCCCATCACGAGGAAGAAGAAAAAAGGGCGGTGCACCTGGCCGTCCCAAAGAATCCGGAGGATCTCTTTGAAGGGAGATTCTCCACTTTGACGCGGCTTGTACGCGTAGTAGTCTACTGTTACAGGTTCTATCACAAGGCTCGAGGTATGAGGGACCAAAGCGATTTCCTGTCCGGCGCCGAGTTGGAGGTGGCTCTATCTGTGATGGTGAGGCGGACGCAGCGAAGGGAGTTTCCAGGAGAGCTGGGAGCGCTTACGGCGGGCGGCCTATTGCCCGGTGGCTCGTCTCTGCGAGCATTAAGCCCGTTCTTGGACGAGGATGGGTCCTTACGAGTGGGCGGTCGACTTCAATCGGTTCACCTGCCCTTCTCAGAAAAGCACCCGCTAATACTGCCAAAAGAGGGTTACTTTACCGAGCTGGTCCTTCGCGACGCGCATACGGCGACCCTGCATGGAGGCCCTCAACTCATGCGGAGCTATCTTCTCCGTCGCTTCTGGGTCGTGGGGGTGGCCACTCGGGTCCGAAGGATCGCCCGGGACTGCGTGCGCTGTGCCCGCTTCCGCGCGGAACTAGCGCAACAAAAGATGGGTCAGCTGCCGCCGGAGCGCGTACGCTCCACCAGACCCTTTGCATCGGCGGGGGTCGACTACGCAGGCCCTCTGCGTATTCGAGCCCACAAGGGACGAGGCCACGCTGCTAGCAAGGACTATATTTGTTTTTTTGTCTGTCTAGCAACCAGGGCCGTGCATCTGGAGGCCGTATCGAACCTGTCGACACCGGCGTTTATTGCAGCATTCCGCCGATTCATTGCCCGTCGAGGTCGTTGCCGTCTGCTGCTCAGCGACAACGCGACTAATTTCCGGGGAGCTGACGCCGAATTGAGAGCCAGATTCCGTGCCGCCTCCGACTTCTACAAGGAGGCCGGAGAAGTGCTAGCCAGCGACGGGACCGAATGGAGGTTTATCCCGCCTCAGGCTCCTCACTTTGGAGGCCTCTAAGAAACAGGGATCCGTTCGGTCAAGCATCATCTGCGCCGCATTCTCGGAGACCATGCCTTGACCTACGAGGAACTATTGACGCTGCTATGCCAGATTGAGGCCTGCCTTAATTCGAGACCGCTGAGTCCGTTAAGCGCAGACGCCACGGATCTGGTGGCGCTAACGCCTGGTCACTTCCTCGTGGGCGATGCACTCGGCACTATACCGGAGGTCCCGGTGTCCGATCTCCATCCAACATCGCGCTGGCGGTTGATCTCCGCAATTAAGGAGTCCTTTTGGAAACGATAGCACGAAGAGTACCTGCATCAATTGCAGCAACGCTCCAAATGGACCCGAGAGCGGACCAACCTTACGCCGGGCATGCTGGTCTTGGTGAAGGACGAACTGCTGCCGCCGGCTAAGTGGCCACTGGGTCGGATCGTCCAAGTCTTTCCGGGGCCGGACGGCTGCGTGCGCGTGGTGACGATCCGCATGGCAGCGACGGAGCTGAAGCGGCCCGTCGCTAAAATCTGTCCCTTGCCGATCGCACCGGACCCGGTTCCTCCAAGGAACTTGGACCACCCGCCTGACGCGGACATGGAGCTGGACGCGGCATTGCCCTGACGGAGGCGTGATGCTCGCGGAGACGCCACGTCGTCTATTAATTTTTTATTGTATTTAAAATTTGTTTTTTTTTTGTTTGTTGTTTTCTTCTTGATTTTATGTTATGAGTCGCGAACAATTATTCTAAGTTTGTCTCTATTTATCGTTAAGTTAGAGTAGTTGCCAATCAATTTCTGTTTATAGTTAGCTTATAGATAGCTAAGCCAGCTTGTATTTCGTCGACCGGACGAGGCGGGCGGCATGTCCGTTATTGAACGGATTTAAATTTAAGCATTCGTGTCATATTATTTCGGTCTCTATTTGTCCGCCTCTGCCTTCTTCCCTGATCTCCCCGTCGTGCTCGGTGGATCGAGGAGCTGGGAGCGATGGGCGAGGCGGGGAAGGGGAGCATCGCGAGTGTCGCGCGTTGACGGCACTCACTCTCGTTTTGAGGACGATCGAGTAATTACACGCGACTCGCTCTTATATTACGTTTCGATCCTTAAAAGTGTTAAGATTTCCTATAAATCAAGACGAAACAAAATCTTGTTGCGCTTCCGCGCAAGGTGTTCAGTTTTTTTTCGCTTATCTTTTGTTAAATGGCAAATAAAGTGAAGTTTTGTGAAACTAGAACAATTAGTGTCTCTTATAGATACTCCTTCAACCACGCGGACGTTCTCCAAGCTCAAAGCCATTTCGAACCGAGACTTTACGCGAACAGTGTGTGTGAGACAAACCTCCATAGCGTACGAATCGTTCGGTTTTTACTCGAGATCAGTACGGAAGCTCGGAGTTCGTACAACTATTCTGGTCGGCCTTTGATCGGTCTAGAGAGCCTTGTCTTGTTAAATCAATAGTGTTATTCTGGTGTTAAATATATAGGTTTGTTAATTAAACCCCATTGACTCATTATTATCCCACCCGCGACAAGTGACAAACCGGTAATAATAAAGTGTTTGCGCGTACGCTCGATTGCTGACGTTGAACGCTCACGCACGAAGCTACGGATCCTGACAATCGGGTTGTAAATCCGATCGTCGATATCGGTCTCGCGTATAGATTGCACAGGAAGATTCAAAGTGGACTGTATCTTAAGGAGGGTGGACGCGCTCCGATTGGTGCGCAGGATGGGTAACGATTTAAGCCACGTGCCGAATCGAGAACCAGAATACGGAATTATATGCACAAATTACACAAAAACAATCCATTTATTAACTAAATTTGTCCGAGAGTCACAATGTACATAAACGCAAATTAATTTGACGCTCGATTGCTGACGTTGAACGCTAAGCTACGGATCCTGACAATCGGGTTGTAAATCCGATCGTCGATCTATAGATTGCACAGGAAGATTCAAAGTGGACTGTATCTATTAACGAATAAAATCACCGCGAAAACACGTATGACGTATCTATTAACGAATAAAATAGTCACCGCGAAAACACGTACGACGTGGTTGTTAAGCAGTCCGAAATGTCTCACTATATGGTATCTAGCATGTGTTGCATGGACACCACCGAAAAACTATTTGTTGCATAACAATTGCTAGTTACGATGAACACGCTCGAAACTCGTGTATCGAATCGTTCGAAATCTCACATTAAGATTTCGTACACGTTGCCGATTGCGGCGAATGCGATATTAAATCGCGAACCGAAATGTTTCAATTAACATGAAGAATCACTGATCACATAAATGTTACAGTGCGTTGAGCACCACGGGCTCGAAGGGATGAAAAAAAGGAACGCAAACACAATCACGACATCAGGTATCAGTCCCAGATGACTGATCACGTGATCTGCGCGCTCCAACTCACGTGATCTACGCGTGCCAAGCGAACACGCGCGAGCCTCATGTATACAATTATTACGTTCGTGGAAACAATCGGACTTCGGCACCTTGATATTTCACCATTGCGTGAATTCTGGTCCCAAATCACTGAATTCCGCTTCGTTAACAATGTTTTGAGCGCAAATTTTATGTCGCGTATATAACGGCGCACCTTGTTGCTACCGTTAATTAGCGAATGTCAAAGTGAACGTATTTCACATCTCACTTATCACTGAATCACAGCAGAATATCAATCTGATTATTTTTTTTATTAATCAAACGAACTACGAACAATTAGAATCGCGACGGAAAACCCACATGTGACTAATCGCAAAGCCGTGCCAGGAGCGAATGCCCAGGTTCGATGACGAGGCAGTTCATCCCCGATCGATTCGATAATCGAACGCTTGAAGCGCGGCGTGTAGGTTCAGTGCGTGCTGCCCCGTGCCGGATTAACTCAAAAATTATAGAATTTCAAATTATCGACCTACTTCTTCATTCTCTTTGAACAAATAATAAAGTTCTTGACCTGGGGTCAACTTACTTCTGAACATACCGCCCGCCTCGAAATAAAGATTTCGAAATGTCTTACAGTAACTAAAGAACTTACCCCAGGTTTGGGTTTTTTTTTGTTACATAAAGAGAAAAAAAAAAAAAAAATAAAACGTTAATCGCTTAATGATTTTTCGAGTGAGATTCAGTGATTACATATTGAACAATAACAGGCATTTGGTTGCTTACATGATTGAATAACAATATTAAGACATAGATTCTTACTAAACTTACATTAACGCGACGCGAGTGGTCTTGAGTAGTCAAGGATATTGAGCGCCGCCCGCCTTAACTAACTACGAAGGACTTGACTTGTCCTAATTATGCGAACGATTGAGACGTTGCATGCGCATTATGGAGTTGGGTTTTCCGCAGTACCTGTCTTACGTTCCGACAGTTGATCGATTAAGTTAATATCGATAGGTAGTAGGCACAATTTAGTTACTGGTCGCTTGTATTCGGACGTCGCTGTTTTAACTGAGACGACTCGAGTTAACCCGTCAGAGCCCGGATGACAATGAATAACTCGCCCTAATTCCCATTTACACGGTGGGAGAAGGGGGTTTTGAATCAAAACCATTGAGCCAACCTGAATCGGAGGCGTTTCTCGACGCCACTTTGATCTTTGTTGAAGAGTATTGACATAATCTGACTGCCACTGCTTCCAAAAACGCTCCGTAATCTGTCTGAGTAATTGCCATCGCGACAATCTGTTTTCGTTCAATTGTAGAACGGAAGGTTCCGGATTCGTAGTAATGGCAGTCCCAATCAAAAGGTGACCTGGGGTCAGGAACTCGTAGTCATCTGGAGTATCATTGAGTGGAGAAAGCGGCCTTGAGTTGAGGATAGCCTCAATTTTGCACAACACTGTCGTGAACTCCTCAAATGTCAATGCGTGTGAGCTTACAATTCGACGAAGGTGGTGTTTGACACTCTTCACTCCTGCCTCCCATAGTCCTCCAAAATGAGGAGCATGAGGCGGGATGAAACTCCAAGTGATCCTATCTGTTGCGATTAAATTGAGAAAATCCGTATTGCGTTGAGCATCCCGATACGCGCGGGATAGCTCTTTATCGGCTCCTGTGAATGTTGTACCGTTATCCGAATACATAACTGCTGGCAAGCCTCGTCTGGCGCAAAATCGTTGAAATGCGTTCAAAAATGCTGGCGTTGAATAATCGCTGACCAACTCGAGATGAATGGCTCGAGTTGCCAAACATATGAAAACGGCTATGTAAGCCTTTCGTGAGGTGATTCCTCGACCAGCAGAGGCTCGAATGAGCACTGGACCGGCATAATCGATGCCGCTGTGCAAAAACGCCCTCGTTGGCGTTGAGACTCGAGTTGATGGGAGTTGACCCATTAACTGATTGGCTACCTGAGCTCTTTCTCGCGTGCATCGAACGCACCTGTAGATAACTGATTTAACTAAAGGCCTAGATTTTATAATCCAAAATTCTTGGCGAATTTTAGACAGGGTAGACTGAAGACCGGCGTGCAGCGAGGCTATGTGCGTGTAGCGAATGAGCATTGTAGTAATTGGATGATCAGCTAGTAGAACTGGATGTTTGGATTGAAATGGTAGATGAGAATGCTCCAATCTTCCGCCAACGCGGAGTAGACCATTTGCGTCTAGGAATGGATTTAATGATATCAGAGCGCTGTTTCTTGATAACCTCTTGTTTGACTTGAGTAAGTAAAGTTCTTGCTTGAACACCTCTGCTTGAATCATATGCAACCAAAAGTTACGAGACTGCATGTACTCAAATGCTGTAATGGCGTGGGACCGGACGTGATCTTTGTGATCTGCCGCGTGCTTCCGTTGACATTTGTTTATGAATCGGTATATATATGCAGTGACGCGTATCAATTTTGGCCACCATGAATACCGTGCAGCAAGACTCCAGTCTTCACGAGTACTGTTTTGATGAGCTTCACATGCCTTCAGTTCCAACTGAGTTTCGTGGTGCTCTGATAGAATTTGATGAGGCCACTCATCAGAATGAAGATGCAACCATGACGGCCCATGCCACCAT